ACACAAATCAGTGTACACACGTCATTTCGAGGTGTAGGCTGTGTTGGTGGGATCCCTGTTCACCCTGACCAGGACATTGGCAGCCAAGTCAGAAAAAAATCTGAGTGAGTCAACTGAAAACCTTGATGCGTGTAAGTGGTACACCAGTGTATTCCAGGTACCAAAGAAGAATTTGCCCCGCTAGGACTGACAACTATGGGTATCTGATCTCCCCTCCTTGTAGCTATAGGATACCACCACTGTGTTGTCTGTGTGAAATAAGACGCTGTGGTCTTGAACCATGGGTGGAAAGTGAAGTAGTGCTAAGCACACTTCTTTCAGTTCGAGCCAGTTGATATGGCAGTCTTGAATCTAACGCAGGGGCCATATTTTCCGTTGGGCTTGTTCGTCCAATAGGTGCACTCGCCAACATGTGAGGGAGGCATCCGTTTCCAGAGTTATAGCCGTGGCAAGGGGACCCCCTACCTGAGGTTTGCAATTGCCGACCACCAGGGCAAGGCATCCCTTGCTTGGTCCGAGAGTGTTATTCACCTCTCACCTTCCGTAAGAGAGCCCGGTGTTGCAACAAAAGTTCACTGTAATGGGCGGCTGCGTAACACAGCCTGGCGGAACTACCCTGCAAAACACTGAACAATGATCCGACTTAGTTCTCGGAGGGACACAGAGGGAACGCTGACTAGGCATTTGGCTAGGTCGTTTAAGCAATGGGCCTACAGTGACTGTACCAAAACCACCTCTGTGTCGAACTCCCTGGCCAGGAGAGTGGGACTTGCTCGATTTACTAGGAAGCACAACTGGCCTAGAAAATCTGGTGTTAGCCTTAATGTTTGACTAACCACCACTTGTTGGTTGGGTAGCAACCAGCCATCTAGGTACACGTTGATGTTTACCGATGTGAAGTGTACCGGCGCGGCAGTAGCACCACCTGTTTCCACACTCTGATGAATACGTATGGAGCCATGCAAAACCGGAAGAGGAGCACCCCGTGCTTGACTACTTGGCCCAACTGAACGAATCGAGGGAGTCGCTGACTCACTGGGTGTATCGGTATGTGCGGGTAAGTATTGCTTAAATCAAGTGAGGCTAACCTGTTGAAACAGAGCATGGAGAATAATATGGTGCTAGGCGTTTCTAGGAAGCTTATACTGATTTAGTCTGCTTAAGTCCAGAACGGGGCACAGCCACCTGTAGTCTCAGTTGTAGTCTTTGGAACCACTAATACTTGCGAGTAGAAGACACGACAACACCAGAGTCCCCTATCCTGTGCATAACGCCCTTTGTAAGCAAACTGTCTACCTCCTGTTGGATTGCTCCCGCTTTGCGGGGGTCCCCTGGTAGTGCCCCAAATGGGGGCTGGTGCCAGGGGGTGGAGATTGCAGTGGGATCTTGTAACCGTGTATCGCCACCTGGAGAGTCCAGAGATCGGTTACTCGCTGCTTCTGAACCAGAATATACCGACGCAATCAGTGCGACAAAGATGTATGGGTTCAGTGGTTCCACATCAGGGTGATCTCTCCTCCGCCAAGGTGAGACCCTGTGAGGCCTGTAGAAGTTGATAGGTTGTGACTCTGCCTCCTGTCGAACATATGCCCATCTCCCTTGTCGCAAGCGGAAGCATCAAACCTACTTCCCCTGCAAGCTGGGTAGGCCTGGTCCCTTCTTCCAGGGGGGCATTTCGCCACTCTTCCATCCCCAGAAGAGCTGGGATGCTTGTCTCCTGGCTACCTCTGGTCAGTGGGTGCCGACTTTGGTCATTACATTTTCTCAGCTTGGAGTCCTTACCGCTTGCCCTTGGCAGAAGCCAAACTGGCTCGTGGGTCTCACCTGTACCAATTGGTCAGTGGGATCCCAAAGCACTGAGACTGCTCCTTCCATCCTCAAAAAAGAAGAGGGTGGAGGAAGTCCAGCCTGCATAACTGAGGGGGTGATGTGCCCAGTGAAAACAGCCAAAACCACATTCCACTGTACAGAGGCAGCCCCTGCCACGAGAGCCAGATGACACTGCAGGATATCCTACGTAGCCATGTGGTGTTCCACCAATGGCTGTGTCTGCTGGTCTAGGAGGCTGGTGCATTCCGCCATTGAGACTTCAGAGTGCTGGCAGCGCAAAACAATTCGTTCCAGTGGGCTGGCCACAACTCGAAAGTTGAGGGTCGCCACACGGCTCTCAGTGCATGGATTGTTTCTGACTAACTAGTTGAAATATTCCATGAACGTGGCCA